ACTGCTAAGCAAAGATATGCATCCAGCCCTATTATAATAGAAGTCAATGGGATAAGTTTGGGGGCGTGGCTTGTGAGCTTCATTATCATGGTGTGATGCTGATTGGTTGCCTGAGTCAAATGAGCCCACCCCCATGTCTCTATGACACTCCTATGTAATGTTATAGATGTGTGACCTTTATAATGGAAGTCAATGGGATCTGCAATGGGACATCCCACCCCATGTTAAGTCAATGGGGCAGTTAGAGGGGTCTTTAAATGGTCTGGGGGGGCGTGGCTTGTGAGCTTCAAAATCATAATGAGATGCTGATTGGTTGCCTGAGTCAAATAAGCCCACCCCTAAGTCAGTATGACACTGCTATGTACTGTGATTGACATATGACATTTATAATGGGAGTCAATGTAATGAATGGAAGTCAATGGCCAATGTAAAGTCAATGGGGACCACTTTGGGACGTCCTAGCACCCCAGGGGAACAGCCTATACCCCCTTTCGGGGTATGTTCTCACTTAGGCTGCAACCCCCTACAGATGTTGTGAATCCCATATTTCTATGAAATTCATAATGGACGCAGTGATTGGTTAAAGTTCGGCTCCATGTAAAGTCAATGGAGACTTTGGGACGTCCTAGCTCCCCAGGGGTACAACATTTACCGCCTTTCGGGGTGTGGTTTGAAGCCTCCTATAACCCTCTCGAGATGTCGCGAATCCTATGTCTCTACGAATTTCGCTGTTGGCGCTACGGCGATTTCCGGGAATAGTATCTTACGAGTGTCTAGAAAATGAATGGGAGTCAATGGGGCCCATGTAAGTCAATGGGGACCACTTTGGGACGTCCTAGAGCCCCAGGGGTACAACTTATACCCCCTTGCGGGGTATGTTCTCACTTAGGCTGCTACCCCCTACAGCTGTTGCGAATCCCATATTTCTACGAAATTCACACTCGGTGCTGTGATTCTTCAAAGTTCGGCTCAATGTTAAGTCTATGGGATTTTTGGGGGGGGTTTTTTGGCCCCTGCGGGACCAAAAAACCCCCCACCCCTTATAAAAGTCATAGCACACCATTCCCGATAAGACCGCATGATTTGAGCCCACTTTCAAGGGTCTGGGACGAAAGCTGCGGGACTAGTTACGCGCCGAAAAATAGGACGGAAGAAGGAAGAAGAAGAAGAAGAAGAAGGAAGAAGAATAATAAACCAGGCACAATAGTAAGAATGGACTTTGCCTATGGCAAACCCCATTAATAAGATAAAATAAGATATTAAAATTTGACTTACAAACCATGGTAAACCTTGAAACCGGTTGTTGTTCCATGCTTAGTGCTCATGTTACAGTCTGATAAAGCACAGTTCCACAAAGCAGATAAAAGGTTGCAATGCACTTTTCCCTTGTGTTTGGTTTTGCAAGACAGTGTTGGTTGTGGTTTAGGTCAGCGGTTTAGTGTCTAAGTAAATTGTAAGACAAGCCCCACTTCTCATGGATGTGTACAAGAAGGACGTGTCTCTGAAACACTACAAAACCCACCTTAAATTATGTATTTCAGAATCGCAAAATATAAACAGCGCCCTCTAGTGGATTTGTCATTTGAAACATGCAACAAAATGTACCAAGAAAAACCTTTTTTTTTTTTATTTCGCAAATATGTAGTCTTAGGCAGGTATGTCCAATGAGTCTGGGTTAAATACATCTTTCACTCTGGAATACATTTTAGCTGATTAACCATATCTTTCCAGTTGTATTGTAGCTTTCACAGTATGATCTATTTGATATCTATATGTTCAATAAGTTTTCTAAATGCTTTATATTGTAAATCATTAATCCTTGCATGTTTTTCCCCCTTTTTTGAGGTTGTAAATTAATTGAATTAAAATGGCTTTGAAATTACAGACTTACATCATAAACCCACCCTTTTTATAATCTATGGCAAACTTGCATTTTTCTACCTAATCAGCAAACAATAGAGGTTTAAATCCCCACTCTTGTGTTTTTTTTCCATCCACAATAATTCCTCTTGCTTAGAAGCACATCTCAGTATGACTACCTATTATATTCCCCTATCATTGCAGTGCAACCTCAACATGAATGTCACTGTAAACCTATATATTTGCAGTAAATTTAGAACAATAAGGTTAAATAATAAAAGATTTACTGAACATATATATATATATATATATATATATATATATATATATATATATATATATATATATATTGAACAGCTTGTTCTAATCTTTATTTAAATATTCAGATCATCAGTGGTCATCCTGTTCACCCCCTTTCTCTCCTGATTGTGACGATTTAAGTGATTTCTCTACAGAACAATGTCATTCAGTCAAGAGCTTATTGCTGGCAATTACCACATTAAATGTGTTTATGCTGATGATATTGGCCCAGTATCATGCTCATTATGAGCTCATTAAATTAATATAGTTACAAGATGTAATATTTCAGAGCCGGCAGTCCATTTTCTACACAGCCATGAGGGAAAATCAACTGAACACAGACATTAAAATCAGACAACTACAGTCCATCTGTCTGGGTGTGTGCGGGAAGCTTTGGCCTTGGCAGAGAAATTAAAAAAATATATGAATAAATTAAGAATGTGTGTGTGTTTGTGTGTGTGTGTAAATTTCACACATTTTTTTGTCACATCATGCTATCAATAAGATTGAAAGATTCCTGTGTTTTTACAACAAATCAGTTTAGATGGACATTTCTGACTGGATAGATATTTTATGAAACAAAAATTAAAGCAAGCAATGATAATCAAAACTGGGAAGACATCAGGAGCTTTGAAGTCAATATCTCATTTGATTAATTGTACAGGATTTCAGAGACTTTTTTGTCCGCCTGGAAACAATGCCATAATGACAGCAAACCGAAAGTGTTTACAGCTGTGACAACAAGCATTTATCAGCTAAACTCTTGATTTTCAAAAGTATGTGCTTTGTGACTTTGCGGCTTGTGTGGTTTTCTTGCAAGTCTGTTGTAGGGACATCATTTTGATAACCTTGAACACAATGCTGAACAAATCTAGCTGTGATTGGTCAAGGAAACCTGGAAAAGAGTCAAGACCATCTTTTTTTAAAGTTTGCATAAACTCAAATTTGCTGCAGACTTTTTAATTCAGCTTGATGATGCATTTCCACCTGAAACAGAAAATTGAGGAGGGGGCGGGGTTTAATTTTTGTGCTCCTCCTTTAATATTTTACTCAGCAAACTAACATTTAGAGGGGCGTGGCTAGGCATATTTCACAGAGAGTGGAAGCAAATGATCAGATTTTGATGAAAGATTACCGGAAATGTTTTTTGTTTTGTTTTGTTTTGTTTTGTTTTGTTTTGTTTTGTTTTGTTTTGTTTTGTTTTGTTTTGTTTTGTTTTGTTTTGTTTTGTTTTGTTTTGTTTTGTTTTGTTTTGTTTTGTTTTGTTTTGTTTTGTTGTTCCAGTGGATTAACTTGTTCGGATTAACCGTTCTCATTTAGACCTAATATACTGATAATCAATAAATCAATGTAACAGTGTATACTTATTTATTATTTAAACTTTTAATGTGCTTTTAAAGAATATTCACAATGTATTTGCAGAAATATTCGTAAGAGCGCCATATAGACCATTTTGAGGGATGTAAACAATAACGATGGTCCCGAGGTATTTCATAGCTGTTTTATATTTTAAATTTCCATATCTTCTGAGAGTCCAAAAAGTTCCACATATTGATAAATAATGTTACAATAGCTGTTATAACATCAAGTTTGACAACAGGCCGGACATGTTCAATGACATCACCACATTGAAACAGTCTATACTTAATTAGTTAGTTTAATAGCTTAAACAATAAAGTTGTTACATTAATCTGGCTTACATGCTCAAATATTTACTGAAAATTCAGTGACTACTTACAGAGTAATTGTATGTGCCATAATTATAGAATAATAATAATTAAACTAAACTCACAATGGAATTTATCAATTAAAATTAACTTATCAACTATAGCCTAATAAAATGTTTAAATCGTATAGTCATAATCTGAGTCATAATCATAACTAATACAATTCTGTTGTTTTTAAAAAATATTTATACTGCATATCTGTAATTAATCTGGCTATTTCGAAAAGTTGACTTTAACCCATTAATTAAGAACTAGTCCTTAGACTTTATTGTAAAGTGTTTACTGCTGTACTTTATAATTCATTCATTTTCTTTTCGGCTTAGTCTCTTTATTAATCAGGGGTCACCACAGCGGAACGACCCACCAATTTATCCAGCATATGTTTTACGCAGCTGATGCCCTTCCAGCTGCAACCCATTACTGGGAAACACCCATACACGCTCATTCACACACTAACTCTATGGACAATTTAGTTTACCCAATTCACCTACAGCACATGCCTTTGGACTTGTGGGGGAAACCAGAGCACCCGGAGGAAACCCGTATGAACACGGGGAGAACATGCAAACGTGCAGCCGAGGCTCAAACCAAGGAACTTTTTGCTATCAGGCTGTTGTGGAGATTTTTGTTTGTTATTATACATGTTAAAGTAACATTTTTCACTGCTTAGAGAATTAGTGTAACAATGTATACTGTATCACTATAAAAGCTTAAGCTATAATTGCAACAAGAAAAATGAATGCCATCATAATCCTACTTAGACTAACACTGTGCACTAGCAAAATAAATATTGTAATTATTCATTTCATGTGGACGTTGAGTTTAAATGTATGACAGACAATAGGGCACAATAATAGGCCTAAACAACAATTGAACATTGTTGCATGATTTTAACCTCTTTAAAAATCTGTTTGTATGCCATAAACCTTAAGATATTCTGTGACTCAACAAGGCCTGTCTCGACCCTCACGGTCCGCTGCCTTGTCTTGCCAGGTTTACAGGACAAGTAAATTCAGACACTGTACCCTAGATTGACTCCCATTTCATCACTCAGGCTAACAAACAGATAAAGCACAGTTCTAAAGGCCAAAGGCACAGTAATATGATGCTTACCAACTGTGTGGCTTGACTGAATTTGCATGTAAGTTTCTCATCCACCAGCTTCCCAGAGATGTGTATTATTGGCATGGATCTCACAAGCAGTATCTCCTGTTTTAACATATAGAAAGGAATGCACCAGATTACTAAAACAAGCCCTACTGTCAACATCCAATTATATCTCTGTTAAATGTCATTTTATAATTATTGAACCACTGCTTAATTGAGACTAAGCCTTTGGTAGTGATCATGATTACATTAGAGTACGGATTAAAAGCAAGCTGTCTGATTAAGGTCACTCTATGTAAACTGAAACAATGTATCGCAAGCGTATGTGCCTTTTAAAAAAAAAATCTCGGTACTCAAGAGGGCGACAGAGTTACCTTTGTCATGTTATGTCATGTATATGACATTAAACAAGAAGTTTTGTTCAGGCATGATAGCAAGTGACCTGACATAGCAAGCTGACAGTTTTTGAGTTTCTGGATTGCAGCAATACTAAGAATGCAGCATGTTGCACTGCATTATGAGTCACACATTTTGGAAGGCGATGATACCGGAAATCTTCCACAGCTAGAAGTGTCTGTGTTCACATACTTGAGTATGTTGTGGGTCTAAGAGAGCTAGCATTTAACTTACTGTTTTGGGAAAAAGACATCTTCTGTACTACAATTTACAGGTACATTTAGGCTATCTGATAGGTTTGTTTTTTCATTAATAAACGTTAACAAACAGAATATGAATTTCCAAGTTAAAAGGGGGTGTAAGTAAAGGATTGACAGATTAGGCTTTGGAGCCACTAAATTTCTTTGGACACTGCAGTCATGGTGCGATGTCTCAAACAAAAACTGATGTCTAGTCCATCTTGTTTGTGGTCTTCTAATTCATCAAAGAGGTTAAAAATGTGACACTGGTTATGGGTGACAAAGTTTAAGGGGTAGTTCACGTACTCAAGTTCTATATTCTCTTACTCAAGTAGTTCAAAACCTTTATGAGTTTATTTCTTTTGTTGAACAAAAAAATTAAGACATGTTGAAGAAAGCTGGAAACCTGTAGCAATTGACTTCAGTAGTTGTAAGTACAGATCCAGAATATATTATTTTGTGTTTAACAGAAGAATGAAAGTCAAACAGGTTTAAAAAAGTAAAGAGTGACTAAATGATAAAAACGTCTATATGGATGAGTTTGTGGTCTCTTGCAAGTCAGCTCTTACAGAAAAACCACATTAAACCCCCATGAGTGATTACATTGAGTCTTACATTTCACACTAGGGCTGCACAATAAAATGTTTCAGCATCTATATTGCAATGTGTGAATCTACAATAGTCCCACTAAAGGATCTGCAATGATGAGTTGGAATTATAGTTGATCGGCACCACAGTTCAGAACATGTCATCACAAAGTTTAACCCTAAAATAGATCGAAAGATTTTCGTTTATATGCGTTTTGAAGGTTTTGAAGATATATAAACGTAAATTCATTTATTCATTTTCTTTTTAGCTTAGTCCCTTTATTAATCTGGGGTCGCCACAGCGGCATGAACCGCCAACTTCCAGCTGCAACCCAACACTGGGAAACACATACACACTCATTCACACACACACACACACTCACATACACTACGGTCAATTTTAGCATACCCAATTCACCTGTACCAACAGGTCTTTGGACTTGTGGGGGAAACCGGAGCACCCGGAGGAAACCTACGCAAACACGGAGAGAACATGCAAACTGCACACAGAAATGCCAACTGACCCAGCCGAGGCTCGAGCCAGTGACCTTGCTGTGACCTTCAGGCAAACGTTCTACCCACTGCGCTACCGCGTCACCCAAAAACCTAAATAATTGTATTTAATTATTTATAGAATGAAGACTCTACACTAATACGGTCTTATTTAAAATTGTATTATTTTTCAAGATTCCACAGAAAACCAAAAAATTAATTTGTATTGCATTTCACTCTACAAAATAAGCCCAATCAATGTAAAATTATGAATTAATTCCAAATATAGTTTAAATCATCTTGTGAAACTATATTCATATTACAATATATATCGCAAACAAACTAAATATTGCAATTTCAGCTTATGTCCGATATCATGCAGCCATATTTTACACATTAACATTTTTTTTGACATGTGACTTTAACACATTTATTGTGTGACCACATTTAGATATCTGAATATGGCTATATTGATCAAATATTCACTTTTTGTTAAATTATAAAGTTGAAGACAAATTTATTATCCATCCAAATTATTTTTAGGTGCTTTTTATCCAAGAGAAGTGTTCGTTTTAATAGTTTATAATACATTTGTTTTAAATAACTAATTTCTTTTTTTTTTCATGATCACAGTAAATACTGTTTTACTTATTAATTTTATTATTATTATTATTATTATTATTATTATTATTATTATTATTATTATTATTATTATTATTTTAATAGATACAGTTTAAAGTGCAATGTAATGACCTAACTCAGTGGTCTCAAACTCAATTCCTGGAGGGCCACAGCTCTGCATAGTTTGGCTCCAACCACCTCTAACTCCCACCTGCTTAATAGTCTCTAGTAGACTTGAACACCTTGATTATTTGAATCGCTGGGTTTGATTAGGGTTGGAGCAAAACTGTGCAAAGCTGCGCCTCTCCAGGAATTGAGTTTGAGACCTCTGGCCTAACTAATCATGTTAACTATGCAAGACATTGGACAACAATGGTTTATTCTGTAGCAAATCAAGTAAAATTTTTAAGAGGGCCAGTAATATTTGACCTTAATTTTAAAAGTGCTTTTATTCCAGCCAAACTAAAAGAAGAGGGAAATATTACAGGAAATACTGTGATGCTGTCTTTTTGCTGTTAAACATCACTTTAATTGTATATTAAATACATATAATTTAGACATCTAATTTATAATACTTTTAATATCACCCTAAATATAATAATTGCTAACATGCTCAAATTTTACAGCGTATACAAATGAACACTAAGCAAAGACTAATACATTCTGCATTGTGTGTGCATACATTCAAACCTGACGCAGTTTATAAAATGTGTTAAGTCTGTTCTTGCATTTCCACTTGTTCAGGCATTTACTAAAGGCTTTTGGTAACACTTTACAATAAGGTTCATTAGTTAATGCATTTGCTAACATGAACTAATCATGAACAACACATGTACAGCTTTTATTAATCATAATTGAACATTTACTAATGCATTATTAAAATTCAAGTCCATGCTTGTTAACATTAGTTAATGCACCATGAGTTAACATGAACTAACAATGAACTACTGTATTTTCATTAACTAATGCTAACTAACATGAACAAATACAGTAGAACATGTATTGTTCATGTTAATAAATGCATTAATTAACATTAAATAATGAACCTTATTGTAAAGTGTGACCAGGCTTTTCACACTGTTTAGTTTTTCTTTATGTTGTTGCTGATGCCTTAACACCTTCAAATTAAGGTTTTCCTCCAGCATTGGGGTTTACACAGAATACAAGTTTAAGAAAATGAATGGTGACAGATTATGAGATGGAAAGAAGCATCGTTTTTGTGTTTGAGTCTGCAGAGGTTTAGGACTTTAAATAGTTTTTCACGACTTGTCGAAAGATGAGTTTCTTCATGGACTTGATGCTACATCCAGTTTATTTGAAGCACAGACATCTGTCACCATCTGTGGAAGTAGACAGATGGTTATTGTACTACCGGAGCATTGCAGTGACCTCATCAGGGTGTGACAGAGGCATCTGCTGACATCATTAGGGTGTGACACAGGCATCTGCTGGCGAAACCTTCAGGGCTGGATGAAAACAGAGTTATATTGCGTTCATTGTTGCTCCCCTACGGTTACTTCATTTTTAAATTCCTGAATCTAAAATCAGTGGCATAGCGCAAAATGCAGAGGCCCCCCTGCAGGGATCGCTGACGGGGCCCCCTGATGAAGGGGGGGGGGATACGTCATACGTCAATTTGCATATCACTGACGTCATCACGTTCTACCGTTTCTGTTTAACAGCCTATGGTTAATAAAGGGGTATTTATAATTGCACTACACTTTATATAAGCATGTTTATTTAACTAAATTTATTGCTGTTTGAATACAGTATATCATAACAGATGTGTAACGTTAGTGAATGTGCAGTAATCTCTCATATGAAATAAACTCAGACAAGTTCAGAAACTGTCACTAAAATATCTGTGATTGTGAACAAGAAAAGAATAAACGGTCCAATTAAATTGTTAAAATCAAGTAGAAGTAGATCGGTTTGACTGTACAAGGGAAAAACCTTCACACTGCCTGTGCTAAATCATTTGTCGTCGGTACGCAGAGGGGTGATCTGCTCTCGGGCTGCAGGTGGGAGAGGCTGCTGTAGAGGACTGACTTGGCCGCCTGTCAGTGCTGTGAGGCGGGGGAGGGGCCGGCGGCATCACACGCAGCTCGTTGAGAAGAGTAGGGACGGTACAGTATGGAAAAATGACAGTCTAAAAAAATCTCCAATAACACACAAAAAAGTCGCTAGGGGGGTCTGAAAAGTCGCTAAGTTGGGAACATTGGCGGCAAGCAATCAGAATGAAGTAGTCCACCGCTTGAGAGGTGTTCAGAGAACACAGACGTGTGAACTTTGGTTCCGACCACAGTTGTTCCCAACAGTTTATTGAAAATCGCGACGACGCGGGGCCCCCCAATCACGCGGGGCCCCCCCGCGGTGCGTGCCCTGCGGGCCCGTCCGCTACGCCACTGTCTAAAATCCTTAACTATCTAAGTTACTTATTACTTAATTGTTTATGGCTTAAACCAGTGTAATATTCAATAGCCACATTACAGGATGTGCAATGTTAAGATGATATTATAGTTGAACAGGAGCCACAGTTCAAAACAAGCATGGTTTGAGAAGTCATTGGAAATTTTAATAATAAATACACCAATTAGTTTATCATTTGCATGTGTTTATAAGGCCTGTGACTGTGTGAGCATTCAATTCAATTATTCAATTTGTGACTGAATACTGCTAGACTCCCAGAAAATCATGAAATACTCTTTTAAAATTTGTATCTTTGCTCTACTGTATTTATCAATGCTTGTGATTGTTTTTTTTATAATTTATATTATGCAGATCAACTGCCCTGTGAAATCATCCCAATTAATCTAATGTTATGAATTTAAAAAGTAGACTTACTCATTTAAAGGTGCAAAAGGTGATCCGCCTAAATGTTAGCATATCTTTTAAACATAATACCTTCTCGGTCGTCCAAAGGCACACCTCCTGAAATCTTGAATGTACACATTAAAGATGACAGAGATCCACTAGTTCATGACATGACATTCACCAGTTATAAAGAAAACTTTATAGTACTTTATAATACTACAATTCTGGACGAAAAACTGTTTTATATCTGGCACATTTTCAGTTATGTCTCACTCTCTCTCTCGCACGCTTTTTCCTAAAGTGACTACTGTATGCTTAATGATTGGCCGGCGGGCTGCAGGAATTACACTTATTAGTAAGCCATACTTATATACTATTTCAGACCAAATATTCAGAGTAGCATGGTAAACAACAAAGGGAGCATCTCACAGGCTGTCATTGTTCAAATCAATGTGATTATAAAAGACTCTTCACCTCAGGAAACAGGCTAAGTGGAATAGCGCTATTTGCTGATGTTTTGTTGTTAAACTAAATAAAAATCTACATTATCGATGTTGCAAAAGGATCATTTGAAACTAAAAATAGTCACATCAATCGTTCGCCGGATAATTTCAGTGGCTGAACAAAACTTCTGTGCATATAACTCATTCATATAACAAGACAATCTAGATAAGCTTTGCGTGACTAAGAACATAACATTACCAGTCTAAATGAAATACTTCAGCTATGGTGTTGTTGTCCTTCCTCCAGCATGCAAAAGTCACTCCTATATTGATTCAGGATTTTAAAAAGTTTTGATACAGCATTTGATTTTAGCCCTGTCACTTGTGTCCACGTGACTGTGGCCAGTGTAAATGCGCATCGGTGGATCTGCATGAACAGAGGTGCGCAGTTGCTCAATTTGCTGACAGACCATTTGGACTACCTATCAGAAGAATGGGAATTATCGGCCTGACAATATTTATTTGGATGAATTTTATTTTTTATTTTTCCAGAATATATAAATACATATGAACACATTTAGATCATTTACTTTGATCCGTGCTATTGGAATGTAAAGAGCACAACAACCAGCACAACAAAAATGTTTCTGAAGACAATCACCTACTGCACCTTTAATCTAGTGAAAGAATACTCAATCTTACAATACCTATTATATTATATTATATTATATTATATTATATTATATTATATTATATTATATTATATTATATTATATTATATTATATTATATTATATTATATTATATTATATTATACACTTTTGTCCTTTCTTTTTTTTTTTTTTTTTTTTTTTTTTTTACAAAATCTCAACATTTCATTGTGAGATTAGGGTGGTAACCCCCAGCCCCTGAGCCACAGGAACACATTTTGCTAAAAGTTAAACAATAAAAAATCTTTTGGTCAAAGTTAGAACTGAACAACTGAAAAGTAAAGTGAACATACTTTTAACATGCGTACTCTCATGTAAAACAACATTGAACTAAATTTTGAAACTGATGAGAGCCCTGTGTAAAATGCCACAGAAAAGCAGGGAAATAAAGCGAAATAGTTTACTATCCATGGTCAAATCTCTCAGCAGGATTTTGAAGTTACTTGAGTAAATAATAAGTTTAAATTCAGCACTTATTTTTGTCATTAGATGTGCATAACAGGGTCCCATTCAGGCCTAGAATGGAGCAGTATGTTGTAAGTGTTCTTCAGGCTAATGTAAAGCCCTAGAGTGATAGCACAGTACTGTTCCTTGGAAATGATATCACTGTAAGAGTCATCCCTTAATATTAGACATGACTTTTCTTACAAGAAAATTTATCAAGAGTCTCAGTTTCGTTCCCCACCCTTTTTATATTCTTGCTCTCTCTCTCTCTCTCTCTCTGATTCTTGATGCGTTCCATGAATGAGCCTAACAAGTGCAAATGGGGTCAAATAGATGAGATCTAAACTGCCTGTTAGAGCCTGTCCTATAATACTATGGAGAATCCCATTACTCTGCGCATCAGCTGTGCTCTCGGTCATGGGGGAAAGCAGAGAGAACAGATATAGTTTATGATGGTGTTTGGGTCTTTGACAGAATCAAACCTCTCTCCCATTAGACTGTCCTTTCCACTTCTGCCACACAGCTATACCTAACATTACATATAAGACCATCAGTAATATTTACAAGTCAAAATTGTAGAAAATACACTGTACAAAATATTCATAAATTAGCGGTTTTACGTATTTTGTGATTTATGTTTTTATTTTTCTCCATATATTTATGGTTTTCAATTGCCTTACATGACATTTATCGGTCTTCTAACATCTTTTAACCTTGAAAAGTTGGAAAAAGTGACTTATTTGAACAATTTAATAGTTTGAATTGATGTATTGTCTGGGTTGCTGTTGTATATTACGCTACAAAACCTTGTAATAAACAGCCAGTAGATTTTCTGTTATTTTACAGGCTTATTTTTCTATAGATTTCTTCTTATACATTAAATTTTTTAATGCTACTAAAATGTCAATAAAAGTCACTTTGTTCACATTAAAAGTCGACAGATCAGAGATCAAGGTCCTATAATGGAATTTTTAACCTTAAAGAAACACTTGTGAATCGTTTTTTGGTGAAAAAAAGTGGTACTCAAATTGCCTGAAGAACCATACTGAATAGAGAGAACAATATGCAATTGAAATTGTGCAACTAGTTTCACATATCTTTACCATTCTGTTGCTCTTGGGAGGCATTAAGAAAATGTGGCTGGCTTTTCTTCACTGCAAGTGAAGCCATATTTAATTTACACACAATGCTGTTTATTGTTTAGTTTTGTTGGTGGTTTTCTTATGTCACAAAACATGTTTTAAGTTTAATTGGATGCGCAGCCTTTGGCTTAAAGAACAAAGATATGGAAATTGTTTTAAGCTCACTTTTAAAGGTTTGGGGTCAGCAAGAAGTCTCTCATGCTTAGCAAGTCTCTGTTTAACTGTAAGTAAAAGCTATTCTTATTTGTTTGCTTGTTTGTTCAAATGATCCAATCAGATTCATTTGATATTGAGTGTCTGCTAATATAAAGTACCAATCCAATACTTGAGTTTTTCTAATGCTAAGTGCACTTTAAGCCAGATTTTTCAAAGCAATTCAGTGAATATGCTTACAAACATATGCAACAAATTAAGAAAAAAATCCAACCTGTAATTTGTAGTTTAATTATTTACTCACTCACTTTCATTTGGCTCTTTCCCTTCTTCCGCTGGATGCCCTTTCTTCTACATGCTGTAAAACATATCCATAAATTAGCAGTTTTCCATATTTTGTGATTTATTTTTTCCCCCCCACTTATTTATACTTTTGAATTGTATAAAGGGGCCTTGACCTTACTTCCGACAAGTTTTAACTTAAAAAGTTTTAAAAAGTGACTTTTATGAACATTTTAATAGTTTAAAATAATATATATTGTCTGAGTTGTTGTTGTTGTACATTACAGTACAAAAACCCTCTAATAAACTGTCAGTACATTGTCTGTTTTTTAACAGACTTATTTCTCTCTATAGAATACCTTACACATTATTTCAAACTACTAAAATGTCAATAAAAGTCACTTTGTTAACATCAAAAGTCGACAGAGCAGAGATCAGTGTCCTGTAATGCAATTCACAACCATGAAAACACTTTGGAATCACAAAATACTAAATAATAAAATAATTATCAGATGTTTTTTACAGAGTGGTACTCAAATGGCTTCGCTTAAAGAACGATACTGAATTGGAAGAACAACATGGAAAGAGACTTATGAAACTGTGCTTCTAGTTCCACATAATCTTTATAGTGCTGTTGCTCTTGGGAGGCAATAACTCATAGCACGAAAACATGTGGCTGGTTTTCCTTCACTGCAAGTGAAGCCATATTTAATTACACACAGTGTTGTTTATTGTTTAGTTTTGTTCTTGGTTTTCTGATGCCACTAAACATGTTTTAAGTTTAATTGGATGTAAAACCTTTGGCTTATGGAAATCATTTTACGCTAATTATTAAAGGTTTGGGGTCAGCATATAGTGAAAGTAAAAACCCTCCTTATTTGTTTGTTCCCGTGATCCAATAAGATTTATTTAATATTGAGTGTCTGCTAATACAAAGTACCAATCCAATACTTGTGTTTAAGCACTTTGGGTCTTAGAAAAGCACATTATAAATAAAATGTGTTATTATTATTAATTTTTTTCTAATGCTTAGTTCACTTTAAGCCAGGTTTTTCGAAGCAATTCAGTGAATATGCTTACAAACACATGCAACAAATTAAGAAAAAACCCAACTTGTAATTTACAGATTAATTATTTTCTCACTCGCTTCCTTCGCTCATTTACCTTCTTTATCATGGTTGGCCACAGTGGAACAAACCACCAATTATTCTGACACATTTTTACCAGTGGATACCCTTCCTGCTATCACTGTACAAAATTGAAAATAAATAAATAAAAATAAATAACTTATTTAAAAAATAAATAAATAAATAAAATAAATAAATTAGCAGTATAGATATTTTGTGATTTATGTTTTATTTTTTTATTTCCCCTGTTTATTTATGCTTTTGAGTTGCATTATATGACCCTGATCTTTCCTCCAATAACTTTTAAACTTGAAAAGTTCCAAAAAGTTAATTTTTATTAACATTTTAATAGTTTAAAATGATATAATGTCTGGGTTGGTGTTGTATATTATGCCACAAAAACCTTGTAATAAACTGCCAGTACATTCTGTTTTCTGTACAGACTTTTTTTCTCTCTAAATTAATTTTTGCATTACATTAGTTCAAACGACTAAAATGTCAATAAAATTCACTTTTTGTTAAAGTGTAGAGTTTAATCGTTAACATCAAAAGTCGACAGAGCAGAAATCAAGGTTGCATCATGCAATTCACAACCATATATAAATGAAAAACACTTACGAATCACAAAATACGGAAAATGTTAATTAACAAATCTTTTTTACAGTGTAGCCCAGCACTTAAATTACACTAGCTCGTGAACCCTCAGTGCTGGGAAATACACACTCTCACATTCACACACAAAATTTCACACTAGAGCAAATTTCATCTGTGCCGCATGTCTTTGGACTGTTGGGGAAATCAGAGCACCCGGGGGAAACACACATAAACTCAGGGAGAACTTGCAATCTATGCAAAGAAATGCATCCTCCCTCTGCCGGGACATTATTGCTGTAAGGCAACCATGTTAACCGCTAAGCCACAAAAGATTGCAAAGGATTAGTAAAACAACAGTGTACTAAATAAATGTCAGCAACCTGCAATGTTGAGATTTAGCCAATATGGCATAGCAATTTTCAACTCATCCTTAAATTAATCTGATGGGATTCAGCTCAAAATCATCAATTCTATTGAAATATGCCATAAACCTTTAATAATTGCAATAAACCAACAACTAAGCATCTTAATTGCTTTATTACTACTTCATTATTATTACTACATTATTATTGACCAAACTGTTCATGTTCTCAGATGTGTAGTGTTGTTTATACCACTTGATGTCATATATTTCGCTTATATTACAGTCGTATACATATTCAAAAATGACATTTGCTGCTTGTTTAAACTGCTTATTTAAATTAAGTTGAAACAACACAATTCTTTAGGTTATTTTTTGAGACTTTAAAAAAAATAATCTTCAATCCACTTAAATTTTTTTTTACTTTTAAGTTAACTTCAATTAGTGAATCGATTTGTGTTGTGACCACATGAAGAAATTGTGTGGAACCCAGCATTTTTTAGCATGTAGGCAAAATGTGTATTTGGATGCTGCTGGAAATTAGGTATTATTTGAAATATTTCTGTTACAAAAACATATTAATCAGCTTCATAAGACAGCTGTTAACCCCACAGTGTATGGGTTAGTTTGATGACGAATTTATGTGCTATTGAAAGCTTTAAAATAAAAGCTAGTCAACAACATTTCAGCAGGAAAAGACGAGGATAGAATTTAAAACTACTCTGAATGCGTTCATTTGAAAGAAGGAAAAAAAAAAAAATATATATATATATATATATATATATATATATTCATTCATCTTACATACATGTAATCACTTAAATACATATATACATATAATCATTCATTTTCTTGTCAGCTTAGTCCCTTTATTAATCTGGAGTCGCCACAGTGGAATGAACCACCAACTTATCCAGCACGTTTTTACGCAGCGGATGCCCTTTCAGCCACAACCCATCTCTATATATATATATATATATATACACACACACACACACACACACACACACACACACACACACACACACACACACACACACACACACACACACGAACTATTCCTTTAATGTAAGTCTCTTACTGTCTGCATACATTTTTCCAATACAATTGTCTAGTACGCGTTTTAGTGTGCATCTATTCACACATTATCAAAAGTATAGTTCAGCCAAACAAATGAACATTTATTCACACGCAGATGATTTCATAGCTTTATGAGTTTCTTTTTTTTTGTTGAACACAAGTAATTTGAACACGTTAGAAATATTTATCCAGAAGGAAAATCAAACAGTCTACTATAGAAGTCAATTTCCAGTATTTTTCCAAAAACATCTTCTGTGATCAACAGAAAAAGGAACTCAGACAGTTGTTTAACAAGTGAAGGTTTAGTAAATGATGACAGATTTTTTTATTTAGGGTGAACTATCCCTTTAATAGGCAGTGTGTTTGACCAACATAGGCTCATTATGAAAATGTAGCCCTGTATACATTTCTGGAGATCGCAAATTATGTAGCCAGAAGCACGTATGGCTGCATTTCATTTTTAAAACGAACAATGCGGGTCAATCGTGCTTTTGAAAACACTATTGGTTGGGTTTAGGGAAGGAAGAGGGTGGGTCAGCCGATCGGTCAGTCATTCAGTCAGTCTACAGTGGCCTCGGGCAGATTTACATGTGAACAGCAAGTGTGAATGGCACTTGCGGGAGAAATCTGAGATCTCAAAAAGCATATACAGCGGCCTCTGGTGGATTCACGAAAACAAAAACTGCAAAAAAACTTAGCTTCTGGGACGTATTTGGCGCTCTCCAAAAATGTATATAGCGGTATATATTCAAAATGCGCCTGTGAACACACAAACTCTCTCTTTCTGTCTCCATACTTAGCCCACGTCACTCTTTCCCACACGTCCAAACCTGTCTCCTTTTTCTCAGATTAGACCATGCTGATTTGCACTCGTTTGCACGTTCGCTCTGTCAATACGGTATAATGCAAAAATTTGATAGCCAATTCAGCAGCCACTGTCTCGCCATGAATACTGAATTAGCCCTGGGTTCAACAAGCCTCGCTGAATGGAGCTCATCCAAATCATTTCAGATGGTCAGTTCAAGTGGGACCGGGCCATGCGAAACTGGGCGAGGAGACAGAGGTGAAGAGGAAGGAAGGAAGGGAGAGACTGATGTTTGTCCTGCATCCGGGGTCAAAAGTGGGTGTTTATTGCGCTCTTGTGACCCCCTTGAAGCCCGCATCAATTATTCATTAAGAGTCAAACGGCTTGTTTCTTGCGCTAAATTACCTTTCTCTCCCCTTTGTGTTCTCGCCCTCCCTCGCGCCTCTTGTCTTGGTGTGGAATAATTAGTTCTAAGGGCAGAGCCGTTTGCAGATTTTAATCATGTAACAGAAGGAGAAATCTCCCAGCGTGAGCGGATGAGGTCTGTTGCAGAGAGCGAGAGAAATAAATGTGTCGGCGAACACTCAGGAATCTGAGTGGGATCTGGGGCCTTTAATTAAAAATTGATGTCATATTAGAGATGGAGATTTCAATCCAACAGCCTGAGGAAACATGGGAGCGCACGGCTCTTATTGAGAGACGGAGAAAGGGAGAGGTAGTTTTCATTGCACCCTGTCTGCTTCCCATCCTCTGCTTCAATTATACCGAGTGATTTAGAAAATGAAAATCTCATCTCATACGTATTGTTTTCTGCATAACATTCAAACTTAATTTGACACTCAGGTTAACAGCACAGTGGGTTTCTGATGGTCCATAATAACAAGTGTGTGTGTGTGTGTGTGTGTGTGTGTGTGTGTGTGTGTGTGTGTGTGTGTGTATGTGGGCGCGTGTACTCAGAGGTTCATCCTAATCAAAGCACCGACCTAAAGACGTATTGGCAGAATTATTGACATACACTTATAAGTTACCTTGATTTATTTTCTATATTTCTCTTCAAAGATTTGTAATGAGGACAGGCATGTCTTGTCAGTATCCTTCATTCTCTGACT